ATGTTTATCCCTTGACTCAAGTTTACTCAGCTCTGGATCAAAATTGCTAACAAGTTTATCTTTTTTTTTTTTTTTTTTTTTTTTTTTTTTTGAGACAGAGTTTTGCTCTTGCTGCCCAGGCTGCAGTGCAATGGTGTGATCTTGGCTTACTGCAACCTTCACCTCCTGGGTTCAAGTGATTCTCCTGCCTCAGCCTCCAGAGTAGCTGAGATTACCAGCATTAGCCACTACACCCAGCTAATTTTTGTATTTTTGGTAGAGACTTGGTTTCACCATGTTGGTCAGGCTGGTCTTGAACTCCTGACCTCAAGTGATCCACCTGCCTCAGCCTCCCAAAGTGCTGGGATTACAGGCGTGAGCCACCGTGCCTGGCCCTAAAGAGCTTATCTTACAGATCACAAAGCATGGTCCACCTGGGGTGACAGGAGCAAAAGGCCCAGAAAGGGAGGCTCCCAGCTGCTTTCTTTACTTCTCTGGGAACAAAAAGCAGCATTCGAGGTGATCACCTTATAATTACAGCATGATCCTAATTTTATAAACGACAACAAATCCAAAAAGCCCAAGTAAGGCTATGTGACTGTGTCTAGAAACAAATTTCCAAGCCAGAAGACCTGGGACTGAACCCTGGTACTAATATTGTAGTGGGCTGAATATCTCCATATGCATCCCACCCACCCCCCCAAAAAAGAGATCCATCTGGAACCTGTGACTATCACCTGATTTGGAAAAGGGATCTTTGCAGATAGAATTAAGTTAAGGATTTTGAGATGAGATCATCCTGGATTAGGATAGGCCCTAAATCCAATGATAAATGTTCTTAGAAAAGAGGAGAAAACTCAGGGAGAAAGTGATGTGAACACAGAGGCAGGGACTGGAGTGAGTAAAGAGCATTAAGGGCTGCCAGCAGCCAGAAGCTAGGACAAGGGGACAGATTCTCCCTGAGAGCCTCCAGGAAGAACAACCCTGCCAACACCCTAATTGTATACTTTGGCCTCCAGAACCATGAAAGAATACATTTCTGTTGCTGTAAGTCATTCAGTTTGTGATAATTTGTTGTGGCAGCCCTAGGAAAAAATACACAAATATCCACCTCAGGCAAGTTACTTATCATCTTTATGTATCAGTCTCCTCTGCTATAAAACAGGGATTTTAATAACCCTAATTACACAGGATTGCTGTGAGCATGAATGAGTTAATGTATGTAGACTGCTTAGAACTGTGTTTGACACAGATATATATAATTTTGGAACAATATATATTATTGCTATCATCATTATCATCAATATACATACATAGACATTGAGAAGCACCTGCCAACAGCTCTGGGCATTGGGATACAATATAATTCATTTTTGCTGAGCTTCTCTGTGTAATACAAATTATGTGTGAGGGACATGTACCAGTTTTCTAATCAGAAGGCATTTATTAAGTTGAAGTGATCATTTCATTTACAGTGGTAAGGGCTGTATACCTGCCAGTTTATCCTCAGATAGAGAGCTACGCGATGCTTTGCAAGGATGGAATACTTAAATGGTATGCGCACTGGCAGAAATCTCAATCTGAGTATTAATACCTGAGAACAACAATGCACAAACTGCTACTGGTAACCTACTCTTTTAGAAGTTGCGATGTTCTGAAAAATTGCTGCCTTTGCCTAGCACAAGGAAACTAGTTTCTGGGTGTGCTTTTCTTTCCATGCTAATACTATTTCTACAATCACAGCATGGAACTTCCAGATTTCGTATTAGACTCTTTCTGTCCTCAGAGTTTATAAACTGTGCATTATTCAGATTTCTGGCTCTTTTCACTGTAAGCATTGCACAGCACTTTAATTTCATGAAATTAGGCTTTAATTTCATGAAATTAAAGTGCTGTGCAATGCTTACAGTGAAAGCATTGCATTTCTCCTATGAAAAGCACTATTTTGTGAAAGTGCTAAACCCAACTCAACCACCTCGAGTTAAGAAATATTAAGAATGAGAGTGTAACACAACATAAAGCTGGCACAATAGAAAAAACATGGAGAAGAGCTGCTGACCGGCAGTCATGACAACACAGAAGGGCCCCCATGCTCAGCAGCTCTTCAGGCGGGAGAGGACTGAATCATTGCAGTCTCCCTGGTCCAATAATAGGCAGGTGGGTTGCAAGCACTTTTAAATAATCAGTGTGGATTTGCAAAATACACTGTCTGCAAATTATCATTACCAGCAGCTCCTTCCTGTCACACGAAGTAGGTGGTCTTTTACCTCAGCAGAAACTGAGGGGCTGCCAAGTTCATGTTCTCATTCGAGACACCCTCTGAGTGGACCGCAGTTGGCCTTCTAACCCTCCCCTGCCTCTGCTAAATGAAGATGGTTCACCTAATTATGTTTTAAGCTTCAGGGGAGGGGTTGGCAGTTGTTTTCTTTATCAAGCATAGACACAGGTGTTTCCTGGGAGCCTGGGGTGGGGAACACACCTACGAATGTGCTCCTGGGACAGGTCTCCCAGCATCACTCTTCATTTGCTTTTTGTTTGTTTAAAGGGATGGGGTCTCACTACGTTTGTTGGAGTGCATGGCTCACTGCAGTCTGAAACTCCCAGGCTCTAGTGATCCTCCTGCCTCAGTCGCTGGAGTGGCTGTCACTATAGGCCCATGCCACCACGCCCAACATGCATGTTTAGCCTCTGACTCTTTGTTAAGCCTCCTGGCACCATCCACCTGCTCCCATTCTTGACTGCCAATTTGGGCTTTCTCTTTCTGCCTCATGCCACTGAAGACTAGGCTCAGTTTCATCTCTCTCCCTCTCCTTGCCGATGCCTAAGTAGATTTTTTTAAACTGTTATTTTTTTAGACAGGGTCTTGCTCTGTCATCCAGGCTGAAGTGCAGTGGTGTAACCACAGCTCACTGCAGCCTCGAACTCCTGGGCTCAAGCAATCAACTTGCCTCTGCTTCCCGAGTAGCTGGGAGTACAAGTGCATGCCACCATGCTAGCACGATTTTTTTAAAAGTTGTTTTTGTGCAGATGAGGGTCTTACTGTGTTGCCCATGCTGGTTTTGAACTCCTTGCCTCAAGCAATCCCCCTGCCTTGGCCTCCCAAAGTTCTTCGATTCTCAGCATGAACTACCTTGCCTGGTCCTAAGTGGATTTTTATCTAGTGATTTTGTTCCAAGTATCTACAAGCAGAATACAGAAGAGAAGGAGGCAGGCAGGCAGGAAGAAAGAAAGGAAGGAAAGGAGGGAGGGAGGCAGGGAGGGAGGGAGAGAGGGAGGAAAGAAGAGAGGGAGGAAGGAATAAAAGAAGAGAGAGAGGAAGGAAGGAAAGAAGGAAGAGAGGGAGGGAAAACAGGAGGTGGGAGGTGAGGGAGAGAGAGCGAGTGTGCTGGTGAGTGAATGAATAAGCCCTAGAACTTTAAGGGGCACTGAGGCGTGAGGCTGGGTGCTCTCCTCCATCTCCACTGCCTCATGCTCTCATGCCATCTCTAGGGAGTTACCTTGTCAATTTCTGATGCTCCAGCATTCTCCCACCTCATCTCTGAATTCCCTGAATCCCCCCATCGTGTCCCTGCTCCTTTTCACGTTGGCAGAGAGACCCTGAAGACCCAAACAGAGTTCCCAATGTATGACAAGATTCATTCCATGCCTGAAGAAACTTCTACCTGTCCAGTGATCCCTGATTCCTCCTCCTGGTCTACCTGATTCTGCCTTTCCTGCCCCATTTCCTTCTTGGTTCTCCTTCCTTCATCTGTCTTCTAAATACGGATGTTTTCATGAAACCTTTTCATTTCTGTCACCCTTTGATTGTCTCTCTGCTCCTGCTCATGAAGCCCCCTGGAGTATTTTTAGCTTATCTGTAGAGAGGCCATCTGTAGTACCTCTCTTATGACCTGTATGGCCTTATCTTCCTGAGCAGGCACATCCTTCTGAGTTATCTCTGAATTTCCTACAGCACCATGGGCTGACCAAGGTAGTTATCTGCCAATAACCAAATAAACAATTCTGCAGACCCCTGAACACTCATCCTCCACTCAGAACTCTACTAAGGACAAAAAGAAATGTGTATGAAGACAATAACTTGGTTTCTGATCTCCAGGAGCTTACAGACAGCTTGCTATGGAGATAACAGTAATATATATTAATGAATAAAGAGCAATAGAAGATAGGGAATGGGATTACTGAGGATATATACTCTGAGAGGTTCTATTTTTATAAAACTAAATTGGATCTTAGTAATTTTGGTTTATTTTGGACAGGTGAAAAGACGGGCATTCTAGGAACAGAGATTATCAGCATCATACAGAAGCCAGAACAAGTATGATTTGTTCAAAAAAACCTGTCATGATTAGGAAAGGAACAGGAAAGGGAGGGAGAGGAGATCTAACATTCATTACGTCTCTGCTGATACCAGAACATGGACTAAGCACCCTGTAGGGATTATTCCACTTAATCCGTACAACAATCTGCAAAGTAGATGTTATCACTGCCAATTGTATAAGCAAGAAGTCTGATGCTTGAAGGGATTAAGAAACTAGCCAAGGTTACACAGGTTAGGTGGCAGAGCTGGAATGTGAAAAAGGCAGCCAGCTTCACTGTGCCATACCATTTCCTCTTGAGCAAAACATATAAATATCGTGGGGTGAGTTCTTCAGTTAGGGGGACTTCTTGTATTCATGAACAAGTCAAGCTGCAAAGCAGTGAGCACAATGCGTAACCTCTGCGGGGCTCAGTACACGTTGGCTGACTCGTAAGGCAAATCTTTCTACTCAGAGAGAGAAACAATAAAGCTCCTCAACCAGATGCGTCTTCTGCCGAGAAATGACGGAGGAGAGCAGCCCTAGAGCTGGGCAATGTCTCCAGGCTAATAGAAAGCACCAACAAGGGATACAGATGCAAGGGATGCATACCACTTTGCTCCAGTCTACTTCAGCTACAAAAGGAGATAAGGAATACAACAGAAGACAGCTCTGTTGTAACAAACGTAGCAGGGATGGATACGGCGGATGACAGAGCATACATACTTGGTCTCATTGGCACATCGAATCTTGCAGCCTTCCTTGGGAACCACCAAGCCCAGGTGCATTCGGAGCCTGCAGTTTGTGGGCCCCGTGTGCGGCCACACGTGAGTCCCAGGGTGCATGATGGAATATTTGATCTACACAGAAAACATGACATGACGTTCAGCCATTTATCAAGGTGTGGAGGAACTGCTAAGTTAAGGTGACAGTACAAAATTACTGTCAATTTGGATGAGAGCCTTTGTGAGACTCAATATTTATAATCACATCTTATTTCTTTGTGAAGGAACTAAAAATAGGCACTCACATTTTTCACAAAGCAATAAACACTGAACATTTTCCACCCTCAGTTCTGACGTCAACCACATAAAATTATGTTTCATAAAGAGGGGATGTAAAAAGAGGCAGTCGTTTGGCCCAAGGAAATAACCATTTCTTTGTAAACGTCAGCACGCCCTTATTCCTAACAATTAACTGTGTTTTCCCCAGCATGACACTCTTGGTACCTGTCCTCGTCTGCATCCTGTTGTCTCAGGGAACTTTTCTAGTAAGGTACATGTTTTAGGAGCTCCTTTACAGGCATTTTCATTTCTTCTTCCTAGAATAAACAACACAATGGTTGGAAACAAATCACAGTAAAGCTTTAACTTATCCCATTTAGATGAGGTGAGAGCTACATATCCTCCTCACTGCAGAAATGAGAAGATTGAGTAAACATAAGATGAAGTAAAAATGCAAAAGGCTTACTGGGAAAAACATGAAAAATAATCAACCAAAAAAGAAGACATGTCTTACTCCATTAGGTAGTGACTGGCAGAGCAGGGATCCAGATTCTCCACTCGGTGTTGGACTGTTTGACTAAGAATGTCTAATGAACAAGATGCATGCCAAAGGCAGTTAACCCTTAAACAACACAGGGGTTAGGGACTTCAATTCTTCATGCAGCTGAAAATCTGAGTATAACTTTTGATTCACCAAAAGCTTAACAACTAATATCCTACTGTTGGCTGTAAGCCTTACCCTATGTTATCAAGAGTTGATTAACATAATTTGTATGTTACATGTGTTATATACCATAGTCTTACAATCAAGTAAGCTGGAAAAAGAAAATAGCATTAAGAAAATAATAAGGAAGAGAAAATACTTTTACAGTATTGTACTACGTGTATCAATGCCATCAGCTTATGTCATCTATTTACAAGACGAATTGTCTGTCTGAAAAGGCCTGCAACTGCAGGCGCGGACCTTCATCTACAGTACACATCAAGCAGTTCAACTTTTTCTTGTAGGGTCATGACTTTTCCCTGCTTTCTGGCAGTATTTCCAGCATCACTAGTTGCTCTTTGTATAGGTCCCATGGTGTTATTCGAGGTTTGCAGCATTGCATTAAACACAATGAAAAATACACAAGAACCATGAGAGATCACTTTTTACCGTGATATGCAATTTACCAGAGACAGGAACTGCTCACATGGAGATGATAGTATCGCATGGTGTTTTAAGCAGATACTTGAAACACTTGAGCTTGCCGAATAGCAACAGGAGGTGGCTATGAAATTATTACAGTAGTACAATCTGAACTACAGTTAATTTAATGGAGTTAATGGAGTTAAATTTAACACTGCATCTTTATGTTTGCTTATATTTCTCTTGAATGTGAATGGTGCTATGTATGGTCTGTAAGTGTTTCCATGCATATGTTGATAAATTTTATTTCTTTATAATAGATTTTTATATATAGTAAATGATAAAATAGATTAGCATCTATATATAGTTCATGTATTTATGACATACCTTTTTCTTTTTTCTTTTTCTTTTTTTGATGGAGTCTCATTCTGTCACCAGACTGGAGTGCAGTGGTATGATCTTGGCTCACTGCAACCTCTGCCTCCCCAGTTCAAGTGGTTCTCCTACCTCAGCCTCCCAAGTAGCTAGGATTTTAATTTAATTTATTTTTCACTCTTGTGGTATTTCAGGAAGGGGCTTAAATTTTTAAAAATATTTCCAGGCTAAAAGGTTCATCTGCAAGTTTTTTCAAATTGTCACAAATCTCAAAAAATTTCCAATATATTTATTGACAAAAATTCGTAGGTAAATGGACCCCTGCAGCTCAAACCCATGTTGTTCAAAGACCAATTTTACTTATTTTTTTCTCCTCTGACAGGCAAAATAATAGTCACCTCCTAGAGATGTCCATACCCTCATCCCATAACCTGTGAATATGTTAGCTTTCATGCAAGGGGGAATTAAGGTTGTAAGTGGCACTGAGATTTCTTATCATCTCACCTTAAAATAGGGAGTTTATTCCAAGATTACCTAGATGGACCCAAGGTGAATCACAGCATCCTTAAATGTGGGAGGAGGAGACAGATGAGTAAGTGTCAGAGTGATATAGCATGAGAAAAACTTGACTGGCCATGCTGGCTCTGAAAATGGAAGGGGCCACAAAACTGGGAATGTGGGCAGCCTCCAGAAGCTGGAGGCCCTAGAGGGAATACAGCCCTGGTGACACTTGTATTTTAGCTCAGTGTAATCCATTGTAGACTGCTGACCTCTAGAACAGTAAGACAATAACTGTGTTTGTGTTTTAAGCTATTAAGTTTTGTGGTAATTTGTTATACCAGTCACAGGAAACTAATATATCCCCTAAGGAAGGAAAATGGCTTATATTTCTAACCTAGAAATGAATTTCTAGGACTATATTAGTTGCCAAAACACTATTTTTCATTGGAATTTAATGTCTTTTTTAATATCCAGATCATCCTTCATATGATGATAAAGAATAGGATTTAAATGAAGAAGGGATTTTTGAGAGAGGACATATTCTATGCATGACTGTCAGAAGCACAGATTCTGGGACATATCATTTAAGCACCCTGAACTATGCAAATTTCTTTACACTCTATGAATCCCCTGCTTAGTAGGGAAGATGTGTTCAGAATGTACACAGTATCATCGGCTCTCATGGGTGAGTAAAACAATGGGATTTTTAAAAGTAGAGACATTTTAATTCCCTATTCAAGATTCCTACAAGACACTGCTACATCTAAAGCTGAGTTTAATTTTATTTAATTTATGTAAATTATGTCCTAAGATAATCATATATTGAGAATAAAATAAGAGTTACAAAAAAATGCAACTAAAAGGTATTCACCCTAATCAAACGGAGCTCAATGTTTTAGAAAACAACTTAGCTTTTTCTAAGTAACCTTTTTGGCTCTTAACTGAATAAAATGTTAATTGCTATTATTAGTTACTAATGGAGTTCCCCAAGATGAACAGTAAATGTCAGTTTGGGTGAATATTACATAAACGTATGAGTCATCATAAAGCATTTTTAAGCCTGGGCTTTCCGAGCCTTCTGGTATGCAGGGCCTGGGGCTGTTTGGCAGGAGTCCCCAGTTCTGAGCTCTGTGACATCCAGGCAGCAGTTAAGTGAAACTGGTGGCTTGAGGAGCAACCAGAGGTGGCCTGGACTTCTCACAAGCACCACATGGCTGAGCATGTGCTACCTGGAGATCAGATGTGCCTTACCTGAATGACAGGTAATAAATGGGTAACCAAATGGGTTGTGTCCCTGAGATTTTCACAGAATTAGAAAACACTTCTAGCCCTTCAGACACATTTATCTTTCTGGTCTGTAAACACAGATTCCCTGTGCAGTAGACTCTGGGCATTTGTGCTTTGTCACTGGTCATTTTAAGTATTCACATCTGATCATGAGGGTCCAACAAATGCAACAACAGTTCCTTGGTGCTCACCACAGGCCAGGAACCACTCTGCATGATGAGAATGCCTCATCTGATGTCCACAACACACAGTAAGAGAGGCTCGATTAATGTTATATTTTATAGAAAGGCAACTGAGGCACAGAGGGGTCACACAGTAAACAGCAGAGCAGGAATTTCAATTCAGCCAGACTGGACCCAGAGTTTATGTTCCCTCGACCAGAGACCACTTCTCCATTACTATTATTACACAATGTGATATTGTTGGGCCATAAAAATGTAATATTAGTATCATACTAGATAACTGTGCCAAGTCTTTAATCTAGTGCTCACTGATCCTAGTAAACAACCTTATACTTGAGGCACTATTTGCCATTTTTCAGATGAGGGATTTGAAGCTCAGAGATTCAGGGACATGCATACATCGCACAGCTAACAAGCGGTACATCCAGGACTCTAACCTAGGATTGTTGGTTTCCAAAGCCTATGCTATAAAGCATAATTTCTCATTTTATTGCATTGTAAATTAGAAGCCAGCTGTGCAAGAGCAAACTAGTTAACTCAGCATGAAGAGAAATGCCCAGCATCTGCAACTCACTGTGGCTGTGGTGTTGTTTGATTATTTCTAACCAAGATTCAAGTAACTCTCAAGAATAAACCTTGCTTCCTTGGGAAAATAGCCCTAGAACAAGATCTTACAGTCAATGCAAATCTGAAATAGTCATTTAAATATATCACTTACACATCAATATACTTCGTGAGGGCCATTCATGGAGCTAGTGTCCTGGGTTTTATCTTTTGTAAATTTCAAGGCTCTACTTCTAGGACAACAACAGGTTCCATCTTGCATGACAACTCTGATCTAGTGGCCACCTAGAACACTGTGTTGAGAAGAACTTAGAGGTTTAGCCTCAGCGTATTCAGAAAGGCTTTTGGGGTCAGGTAGCACCTTTCCCATGGGCTCTAGAAGAAAAAAATGACTGCACATGCATGGCATATTTTAATCATTGTTGGTGGCACTTATTAAAATATGAGCAAAGTAGATGTTCCATAATATTCACATAACAATCTAAAAACATATTTTGGGGGAACAAAATCATTATGTATATTTGCTGATTCTGTCTTTTTTCCTTTAAAAAGGAATATAGTTCAGTCCTAATGAAACTACTTGGAGAATGTATCAGTTTGCTAGCGCTGCTGCAAGCAAATACCACCGACTGGGTGGCTTAAACAGCAGAAGTATATTTTCTCACAGTTCTGGAGGCTGTAAGTCAAAGATTAAAGTATAGACAGTCTTGGTTTCTCCTGAGACCTCTCTTCTTGGCTTTCAGGCAACCACCTTCTTATGTCATCACACGTCCTTTTCTCATCCCTAGTGATATGGTTTGGCTTCGTCCCCACCCAAATCTCATCTTGAATTATGGTTCCTGTAATCCCCTTGTGTCATGGGAGGGACCAGGTAGATATAACTGAATCATGGGAGTGGTTCCCCATCCTGTTAGTGGGGGCAACTCCTGATAGTGAGTTAGTTCTTATGCTATCTGATGGTTTTATAAGGGGTTTCCCCCTTTGCTTGGCACTCACTATCTCTCCTGCTGCCCTGAGAAGAGGTGCCTTCCACCATGACTGTAAGTTTCCTGAGGCCTCTCCAGCCATGTGGAACTGTGAGTCAATTAAACCTTTTTTCTTTAAAATTTACTCAGTGTTTCTCCATAGCAGTGTGAGAATAGACACACCTAGTGTCTCTTCTGTTTCTTAACAGGGCACCAGTTATATTGGGTCAGGGCCTCATCCTTATGACCTCATTTAATCTTAACTATCTCCTTAAAGGCTTTATCACCAAATACAGTCTCACTGGGGGTTAGGGCTTCAACATATGGATTTTGTGGAGAAAAATTCATAGTTCAGTCCATAGTAGATTTTACTTCACAAAACTTCCAGCCTCAACTTTAGGCCTTTGACTACCCAGCAGCATGCTTTGCTAATTGGACAACAGCTAAGTATTTATTGAGCTGGATATTCATCAACTTATTGTCTAAATCTGAGCTCTCAATGTGGCTCAGCAAACTGGTCTGTCACCTCCCTCCCCACCATGTCTGTCCCTACCCCTTCCACTTCAGAATTCCTCTCCTCTATTTCTGAACCACAGCACCTGAGAGGGATGCTATCCTCCTTCTGTGTAAGTGTCTAAGCTACAATAGTACTTGGCGTCAAACTTACTCTTTTTTTTTTTTTTTTTTGACAGCCTCACTCTGTCACCCAGGCTGGAGTACAGTGGCATGATCTCAGCTCACTGCAATCTCTGCCTTCTGGGTTCAAGTGATTCTCCTACCTTGGCCTCCTGAGTAGCTGGGATTATAGGCATGCACCACCATAACTGGCTAATTTTTTGTCTTTTTAGTAGAGATGGGGTTTCACTATGTTGGCCAAGCTGGTCTTGAACTCCTGATCTCAAATGATCGGCCTGCCTCAGCCTCCCAAAGTGCTGGGATTACAGGCATGAGCCACCATGCCTGGCCCCAAACTTATTCTTTATAGTATGAATTTGTTTCTAGAAAACAGTTATTCAATTCCCCCACTAGAAGCATGGAACCACAAACCAAAGACCATAAAGAACTTCAAAAAAATCTTCCTAAAAGGAAAACTATGTGAATTTTATCACTTTATCACAATAAAATAAAACTAGGAAATTCAGTTTTAAAATTTGAAGCAGGCTGAGTGTAGTGGCTTACACCTGTAATCTCAGCACTTTGGGAGGTCAAGGTAAGAGGATCACTTGAAGCTAGGAGTTGAAGACCAGCCTGGGCAATATAGTGACACCCTATCTCTACAAAAAAAAATTTAAAAATTAGCTGAGAATGTAGATTCACACTTGTAGTCCTAGTTACTTGGGAGGAGAATTGCTGGAGCCCAGGAGTTGGAGGCTGTAGTAAGCTAGGATTACACCACTGTACTGCAACCTGGGCAAGAGAGCAAGATCCTGTCAATGAATCGATCAATGTTGAAGCAGCTACAACAGATTGGAAAACAGATGCTCAATCATACACACAGACACATACACATATAGATTATTTTAAGTCAACATGGAAACTGGGGCAGCAATGCAATCTTTTTTGATAATAACTCAAGTAAAAATACCATATATTGCAGTATAGGGAATACATCCAAAGGTATAAGTTTGGATGCATAGCCTTAGGTCAGGTCAGTGCGTATCCTTAAATGCTTTTATTATTAAGAAAGAATGAAAATAAATTTACTAATGAGTTCCAGTCAAAATATTTAAAAGAAAAATAAACCAAAACTAAAAAGAACAAGAGGAGGAAGAGAAAATATAAAAGTAGGAATTAGAAAATACATAGAAATAATCATGTGAGTGAGAAATAACACGAGTTTTTTAAACAACAGGATACAAAGAAAAAGAAAGAACATGTAAATTCCATTCAATAGGAATAAGAACAAAGTTACTGAGAAAGTAAAATACATTCTAAGAAATTACTCTAAGTAGTTCATGGAAAATCAGGTATAGTCTACCTATATGAAAATGTGGAAGTCATAATGTTACCTTCAACAAAATTGACTCCATGATTTATTTTCTTTCTTGCTTACTGCTTTTTATGTTCTATAATACTTTGCATATTAATTTTATCAAAAAAATTTTTTTTTTTGGCAGAAACTATGGTTTCTAAAAATTAGTGCTAGGATGCCTGCTATTCCAAAGCATTGCTTTAGGAGACCAAGTAGATTCTGTGAAGCATAGGGATGTTCATGGAATCTAAATATCAGGAGAATGCCTACGTGCCAATAGAATGGTCTCACATTAGTGAGACACCAGAGGTAAATGAGCATATTGCCCACATATGGATTGTACAGTTCCATTTAAAAAAACTGGTTGGCAAAAAGTGGATAGTCACCTTTTTTTTTTTTTTTTTTTTTTTTTTTTTTTTTTTTGGTGGTTATCTCTCTTTTGTTGAGAGTATCCTTGAAAATACTACTAAAGTATTTCCTCTTCTTCTTATATAGAAACCATTCTAAAAGCATAATTGAGATAAATGACTGTCCTTATTTGCTCTTTGGGTAAATTAGATGCCTATCATACTCTGAATTTGTTTTCTGTAGCTGAAGATATGCAGCACGTACTGTTTAGTTTTCAAAATAAATTTACTTTTGTAGTTATTGTCAACCCATGCTAACTCCACTTTTCAAAGAGAAAATTGGAGTCTTAAAATTTAATGCTTCTCATTTTAAAGATTGATGAATATATCAATTCACTGAAAACACAAACATACACACACACACAGAGAGAGAGAGAGAGAGAGAGAAGCCCCATATGTGTGCCTGGACCTGGGTTAAGCTAAAAATATATGAAGTTCATATGAACCACTTCCTATTCCTGAAGAGTTGGGGCAGCAGCTACTACTGATTTACCATTTTTACTGGCTCTCATCCATGTTGATGTCATTTTGCCATGCAACCTCATCTCCGTTTTACAGGAACAAATGACACTCAGGGACATAACTTTCTAATACACTGATAACACCTGCTAGACTTTTCAGTTATGCCTACACAGTAGGGTTACAGTCAGTAACTCATCATTCAAGAGGAAAGACCAGAAAATCAGAACACTACTCATAAACAGTTATCCAAATATATATGTGGATATACACACACAGCTATATACTTACTCACATACAAATAAGGGCTCAGAAGTAGTTTTCATAAACAATGAATGGATTTCAAAAATCTAGCTTTTTTTGGGCTCCTCATTTAAGCCTGGGACTCCCAGCTCTGGGAAGCATAACCAGAAGACTCTCATCAGTACCCACTTCCCATCAGGTTCTGGCTGCAGAGAACCATCTAGAAGTCAGAAGCTCACCTTGCTGCCACAGTGTGAACTGGCTCCAGTCCCCTTTTTCCCTCAGGTTTTCATCCTCAGGTAGGAAGAGACCTTTGGCTTTATCCATCACTGCAAGGCCTTCATCTCGGATTAACTTCCAGTTTCTTTCTAAAGACTAGAGAGAAGATTCTGGCTTTACTAAAATGAAAATGGGCCTGGTGGAGCACCTTATAATGACATTTTTTTTTTTTTTTTGAGGTTTGTTTGTTTCAGAAACGAATGAAATTTTTGCTTTATCTAGATTGCTTATATTTCAATTTCCTCTGGAACTTCTTGTCACAGGTATAAAAAAACCAAATCTCATGATTTTTCCAAACGAAATGTTTTTGCAACATAACGATTTCAATAACTCCTAGAAATTTCAGAGTATAATCCTCTCCACCGTTTAAGTTTTGCCTAGAGACTTTTTTTTTGAAACCACAACCTAACAAGAGTGCTGATCTTGTTGATCAGATTAGATCAATACACTGTAGCAAGCTCCAGTGACACTTCAGCCTCCACACTGGAACACAAATCACAGACCTAATTTCACCTTTCAACAGAGTTTCTTACAAAGATGCCATTAAAGATGGTCAACATTAGTTAAACATTCAATGGTATCAGAAAAGTGTCCATTGGAGGATTTGATATATAAAATTAACAGTGAAGCAAAACAAATATGTGCACTAGTGTTTAGAATTCAACCAAACAAAATATTTCCTTGACTTTTCATTTATGAGGGAGCCTTAACCCCTTCCAGAAAAGGAGCTTATGACCAGCAGAGACTAGGAGCAGCCAGGCAGGTGACAGTAGGTCCTGTGGAAGATCCTCTGGGTAATCTGTACCATCACACTGAGTTGGGGGACAATGTGTTGAGTAGAGGAGAAGGCAAAGGTAAGCATCTGAGCAGTAAACTAAGATGTATTTCCATCAGGAGACAAGCATAAAAACAGCATTCCTACTTTAGGAAAGAGACAAACCTGTACAGATAAACTAGAATTTTGAAATGTTAATAATTTCAATCATTTCTATGTTCTATGAGAAGTGGACAGAATAGTTGAGTATACGGATTGATGAATGGAGAGGAACATGTTAGCTGATTTCAACAAGGATCAGGGACAGATATATTTTAAGTGACTCAAGAACATAGGACTAGAACTACTCAGTTATAAACCCAAAACCAGATTTTGATGCAAAAATGGAAAATAAGTTGCAAACTCTGATTTTCTTTGTAAAACATGGTTCTCTATCTTTTGAATTAATCAAGCACAATGATCAATTATTGGTTAGAGAAAAGCACGAGATAATGTGTAAAGTGTTTTTTTTGTTTTTGTTTTTATGAAGCCTTGCTCTGTAAACTCATGATTTCACATGAGAAAGTGATGTGGAGTCGGGATGGCTGTACAGCCAGAGGGCTCTGACACAGACATCTGTGTGGAAACATGGTGCCAGCCACAGCCAAACAAAGGAATACTTTTTATATCACATGAAAACAATAGTTATTAAAATATTTTAGGGCAAGAAACAGATTTTGGTTAGATATTGATTTGATAATTTTATGACACGTATGCATTAATTTGTGTTAATATTGTTAACAAAAGACCAATGAGATTTGTGCAGGCCAAATGAAAACTTTATTTTTCAAAAGCAATCTGCAGATTAGGGAGATGCAGCGTTGGAAAGTGCTCTCCCAGGAAGAGTTGGGGAGAAAGATATGACAAAGGCCAAAACTCCAGGGGAGGGCAAGTGAGGGGTGCTGGGAGTGAGGAAGAATGTTGATTGGATGGCCTTTAAGCTGCAGCTCACCAGTCTCTGGTGGCTAATTGGCTGGTTCTGGGTGGTTGCTTGGTTGGTGCTAGGTGGTCGCTGGTGGTCAGCTGAAAGAATTTTCAGTTGTGGTTGTTTTCAAAAAATGTTCTTTGACTTGGTTGCAGAAAAACAGGTTCTGCAACACTTTCCAAGGACACAGAGAGCATGAACTGCATGACTTTTAACTTTTGAGCCAAAGGGAGTTCATTTTGTCTGCCAACTAGGGGCAGAGTCTGACCACATCTATACCTGCTACTACCACTGCCCAGCTTAGAGTGGTCCTGAGCATTTATCCAGGTTTAGGACTCTGCCCACCAACTAGTTTCCATATTGCTTCATCCCAAGTAGGCAGTTCATGAAGAACAAGGCAAAGACCACACTTCAATAAAGGGTCATTCAAAAGCCCTTACTTTGTCAGATCCACAGATTGAGAGCATACCACCATTATGTGAAAAATCCCAGGACCATAGAAAAGAAAAAAAAACGCACCCTAGGATTTTGCTGTATGCTCACATCTTCCCAAACGCACCTCAATTGCCAACACTCACTCTGGATATTGTCACTTGTTCAAGTTGCTAGATAAATCTGTTAGATTCTTGTTAACTTGTCACACAGACAAGGGGAGAATTGCTTCTCTAACACATGAAATTACTTTTCAAATGAGGTTACTGGTGCCTTATAAGGACAACCTCTTCCTTTATTCCCTCCTGGTATTTTAGAAGATTCTTTTATTTCTTTAGAAAGCTGATTTAGGGGCACGGCTGGAAACAGCTGATCTTTTGTTACTAAAATAGGGCACAAAGCCCTAGGGAAAAATGTTAAAGTGATTGCATCACTCAGTATAATTTCACATTTTTTACTTAAGAATAGACATCTTTTATATATAAAACATTGCCCTTCCTGCCTCTTCACCCCAGCGTCCCCTGGAAAATGTTGCCAAGGTACTTTTCTGTGAATAGTAATAATTTTTTAAAAAAATGTTTTGGCTTTTCCTTGTTATGTGTGGCACATATGTACTGGATGACAGACTCATGCTCAAAAGGGGCAAACTGGTACAGAAGGGTGTCTCTGAACACCTGCCCTAATATGCCACCAAATATGCTCAGTACTAACTAGCACTACTAACTCAGTACTATCTCGTCGATTTTGGTTATAAAACAGTCACTTCTTATTTTCTCTTTTGAGTTCAATGCTTTCTTATAGAATTTTACATTGGGTAGGAACCATACTGTTAATCTAGCTGAAATTTCTTCAGCTTAGGGATGATGAAATGACTCCTAGTGTGGTTAATGAGCCTAAATCCCACAGTCTAGTGGTCACCATGGCTGGTGCCAAAACCCCTCTGTACTATCTCCCCCTTGATTACTGGAGAGGGTCACACTCAGGCACAGGGATTTCAGGCTGTGGTGGACTCAAGGGGCTCTGCTCCCCTTGAGCCTAAGAGCAATTGTGAGGTGCCCCAGCATCCTGGTCTCAGAGGTTTACTGGGTACCTGTGACTGTGGGCACTGGTCGGGAGTACTTACAAGGTGCTTAGAGAGCAGCATGCTCCCCAGTGAGTGCCATGCAGAGGTCATGCCTCAAAGACAGTTCAATATCTTTCACAAGTGGGGAAAGTTGAGGAAACCAAAAGATCCCATCAGTTAAGCCTGGTGACATACACTTGAAGGTGTAAGGTCTTCTCTTAAAATTGACTTCTTGTAGAAAGCTTTCCTCTTGAGAAGCAAACTAAAGCCTAACTCATTTTTATGTAACTATTTTTCTTACTAACGTTTTTATTCAATTAAAAAACACACATTTTTTAAAGTCAAAGTTTTAAATCCAACTTCAGAAAGATGTGACAGGAGCTTTTATGGGCATTTGGGGGAAATCTGGGATGGGACCTAAGAATGTTTTTAAGTGCAAACCAAGGAATCATATAATATAATATTCACATGGTTAGAGGAAATTAAAGATCAAACCTAATTACACTCCGCATGTGTGTGTGTCTATTCAAGACAAAAACAAAATACCATAAACTGGGTAGCTTATAAATGACAGAAATTTATTTCCCACAGTTCTGGAGTATGAGAAGTCCAAACTCAAGATGTTGGCAGATTCGATTCTGGTGAGGGCCACTTTCTGGTTCATAGATGATACCTCCTACCTGCCTCCACAAACAGTGGATGGGACAACCAAACTCCCTGGGGACTCTGATAAGGCCACTAATCCTGTTCATGAAGACTCTGCCCTTAAAGCATAATCATTACCCAAAGCCCCACCTCTTAATACTATCACCTTGGGAGTTAAGTTTCAACAGATGAATTTGGGGGAGACACAAACACACATCAGTGTATGTGTGTGTAAGAGAGAGGGAGAGGGAGAGAGAATATGAATTTTCTCTACAGTAATACCACCCAGTTGTCTTCGATGGCAAACAATTCAGTTTTTAGGGAATTTCAACGAAAAATTTGAAGGCTCACCAACAGCAGACAATGCCTACATTTGTTAAAGTCTCTGAAATATTACTCCATTGACTCTAAATTCATCCATTTCATAAAACTGAAAAGAGAAAATAATCTCTTTGGTATTTGAGTTGGCTGCCCAAAAGACAACAGCTCCTAATTCCCATTTCTTCTTGTGGCAAAAGAGACTTCAGAAAGCAGAGGTCTGATTCTTTCTACAGTGCCACATGGCTTCATAAAGCCACCTCTGCACGTGCTTCACTGGTTACCCCTTAACTACATTTTTCCCTCTACGCATGTATCAATGGACTTCCCAGTTCTGATCTCATGAATCCCACAGCATGCCCAGCTCTCCTGAATCCCAGCCCTGCATCCAGTTAGGAGCAGCTTCCTCATCTCCCCAGACAGCCTGCTCATGTCACCTGGATGTTGTACTTTCTCCGTAACAACAAATTAAAGTAAGTTCTATTTTTAAAATCTTCTCTTAAAATTGACTTCTTGTAGAAAGCCTTTCTCTTGAGAAGCAAACTAAAGCCTAACTCATTTTTATGTAACCATTTTTCTTACTAATGTTTTTATTCAACTAAAAAATACACTATTTTTCTTACTAATATTTTTATTCAACTAAAAAATAAAGTCAAATATTATTACAGGTCTTATAATGAAAATTGCAGTCTCTTCCCCAGCTTTTCCCCAATCCTCAGTCTAACCCCCAGCTAATTATTTAAAATATTTATTCTGTTATTAACTGGCTTATATCTAAACAGCAAGTTTATATTGGTATTCTTGATTTATTAATTTGAGGCATTATCACTCATCTATGATAGAAGGTTAACAACTGAATTTAATGTCTTCCTTCTTCATCCTTGTAATATAGTTAATTTCAGAAATTTTTCATACATCAGTTCGAATTCACATTCAGGTTTTAGAATATTATGACAATCGGGTATCATTGACACTTGACTTGAGTTGTAATGATTATACTTCATGTCACATACAGCATTTTTTTCTGCCCCCTTTGAATTGGCTTTATTTTTAATGCACTTCACACTAATTCTTCACTAACTCTGAAACAGTGCTATACAATCCCTTGATGCTTTTATTCTACCTTTTACCAAAAACATTATAAATTGATGACTTCCTTGCTTTTTTGTCTTTTTCTGAAGATAACCTTCACACAGCCATTTGCCTTGCTCTGATCTGGATCAGCTGCTGTCTGAACTTGCTAGACAATGATGACCGGGGAATTCCCCTTGGCCTCTGCCTGGTACTGAGCTCCCTAATTAATGGATTCTAGTTGCTCCTGAGGAAGGACACACCGCAGGTAAAACTGAATTCCAAAAGTGCCTCAAGCTCTTATACCTGATTGAAGGTTTGAGTATGTACGGTTAGGTATTTAGGTCATAAATTAATTTTGTTAGTAAATAATTTTGTTTTATAATTTTTTTCTTATCTCCTATGATATTATTTTAAAAATATATAGTTGAGAGATTGAATATATTCAAAGTGAACAAGGCAATGAGTTGATATACACTGTAATTATTACCACAATCAAACTAACACATTCAGCACCATGCATGCTGTATATTAGAGCCCCAGAACTTGTTCATCTTACAGCTGAAGATTTGTACTCTTTGACCAACATCTCCCCATTTATCTCATTCCCCACCCCCAGGCAACCACTGCTCTACTCTCTGCTTCTGTAAGTCTGACTTTTTTAGATGCCACATATAAGTGATATCACACAATATTTGTCTTTCTATATCTGGCTTACTTCACTCAGCATAATATCCTCCAGATTCATTCATGTTGTTGCACATGGCAGGATATCCTTCTTTTTAAAGGCTGAGTATATCCTATTGTGTTTATATATCACAGTTTTTCTTCATTCACCTGTTGATAGACATTTAGGTTGTTCCCATATCTTGGTTATAGTGAATAATGCTGTAATGAACAAATATCTGGGGGTACAGATATCTCTTTGAATTATTTATTTCATTTCCATTAGATATGTAATCAGAAGCAGGACTGCTGAAATGTATAGTGATTGTATTTTTTAACTTTTTTTTTTTTTTTGAGACGGAGTCTTGCACTGTCACCTGGGCTGGAGTGCCATGATGCAATCTTGGCTCACTGCAACCTCTACCTCCTGGGTTCAAGTGATTCTCCTGCCTCAGCCTCCCAAATAGCTGGGATTACAGGCACCCACCACCCTGCCCAGCTAATTTTTTGTACTTTTAGTAGAGAGGGGTTTTCACTATGCTGGCCAGCTGGTCGCAAAATCCTGACCTTGTGATCCACCTGCCTCGGCCACCCATGGTGCTGGGATTACAGGCATGAGCCACTGCACTCAGCCTATTTTAAATTTTTTGAGGAACCTCCACATGGTTCTCCATTATGGCTGTACCAATTTACATTTTCACCAACAGAGTACATGTGTTCCCTTTTCTCTGCAGCCTTATCAACAGGTTACCTCATTTTTTTCATAATAGCCATCCTAACAGGTGTGAGGTGATATCACATTGTGCTTTGGATTCGCATTTCTCTGATGATAAGTGATGCTGAGCACCTTTTCTTATTCCTGTTGACCATTTTGTATATCTTTGGAAAAATGTCTACTCAGGCCCTTTGCCAATTTTTAAATTGGGTTATTCGGTTTTGTGCTATTGAGTTGTATTAGTTCCTTACATATTTTGGGCATTAACCCCTTTTATCAGATATAGTTTGCAAATATTTTCTTCTGTTCCATAGATTGCTTTTCATTGTGTTGATTGTTTCTTTTGCTGTGCAGAAGCATTTTAGTTTGCTGTAGTACCACTTGTTTATTTTTGCTTTTGCTGCCTCTGCTTTTGGTGTCATATCCATGAAATTATTGCCAAGATGAACATCTTCTTATAATTTTGAAAGGATTAGTCCATTACATTATAACTTTTAGTGTTGCTGCTGGGAAATCTGATGCCTTCTAGATTCTCCCCCTTCCTATACTTCCCTCTCTAGTAGCTTTACGAGTCAGGATAGTACAGTGCTTAGGGGTATAAAATTTGGAGCCAGACTGCATGTTTGGAGATCTGACTCTATCACTTATTTGCTGTGTGATTTGGAGCAAATCAGTTATCTCTGTGCCTTACTTTCTAAAACTTCCTTCAACAGTTCCTGAGAGGATTAAACATGTACAAAGTGCTTGCGCTATACGCAAGTATAGCTATGATGATGAGGAGGATTTTAAGACCTTTTCCTTCTTCCTATTTCTTGAAATTTCATGGCAATATGCCTTAATGTAAAGGCTGGGCACTCAGTGGCACCCTTCAACCTGAACTCATTTTTTTTTCTATTCTGAACGATCTTCTAATTTTATTAATTTCTCCTCTATTTTTCACCTATTCTCCCCAGAATTCCTTTTATCTGAATGTTAGCTATGTTAAATTGAGCCTTTAATCATCCTATCTTTTCTATTTTCCATCTTTGCCTTTTTGTTTTTCCTTCTGGGAGATTTCCTTAACTTAGCTTCTAATACTGTTTTAAAGTCTTATCTCTGCACACTTTTTAATTTCCGAGAGCCCTTTCCAGGTCTTCAATTGTTCCTTTTTATAGTTTCCCATATTTGCTTTACAGATACACATCTTCTCTTATTGCTCTGAGTATAGTAGAGGTATAATTTGGTTTTTCTCTTGTTCCCTACATTTTCTCGATTTCCACCGAGCTACATCATTCTTTTTGTTTTGTTCTTCTTTCTTTTTCTCTCTCTTTTTTTTTTTTTTGGTGACTCTTGAGTGGATTTTATTTTTGCACTCCAGGATGTAGCAGAGACAGTGCAAGGTTCATCTTCACACCGAGGGCCCTCAGTGTGGAGGTGACTCCTGGCCTGAGGAGGGCTGAGGCATCCTGAATTTTGAGAGGTCGATGTTCAGGTCTAAGAAGATTTACGTGTTGTAGTCATGATGCTGGAGGTTCTTGTAGGTAGTGTTGTGAAATGACTCAGCAGGCATTGGGCTGGTTTTTTTGGTGAACTTTTTCTTGGGATTCTGTGGCTGACCCTTTCCATTTTTCCCTGATTCCGCAGACAAAGAAACTGTACAAGAAAGTCCTTGAAACACATGGGCTTCGGGGAGGATAGTGTTCAGCACCCGACTCGTCTTTGTCACAGCAAAAGCGGGGCCACCATGGCAGTGACAGCAGGTGCTCTAGGCTGGGCCATGGCAGCTGAGCGCACACCCGTGCCTGAACACCCGGCCATTGGGCCGAGTGCTTTTGTTCATCTTTCATGTTAATTTTTTGAGGAACCGCCACATGGTTTCCCATTATGGCTCCACCAGTTTACATTCCCACCAACAGTGTACATGTGTTCCCTTTCCTCTGCATCCTCATCACACAAAGAAAATCTCTTTAATGTTTGGTGATTCTTGCCTGTCAGTTCCATAAAACTGAGGCAACAACTGGACATCTGGTGAAAGAGCAGAGCCTGTGTTTGACAGTCCTTCATGTCGGGTGCATTGTCAAGACAGTTTTTTATTTTTATTTTTATTTATTTATTTTTTTTAACTGGGGATCCTAAAATGTCAGCATAGATAAGCCTATTCTTTGAGGCCATGCAGTTTCTTGAGTTGCTATAGTACCAGGTACCTTGAATTTCTTCTTTGGAAGCTTCTCTATAATTACGAGAGTTCCTGTCTTGGATCTGCCAAATCATGTGCTTCTGTTTTCCACTTTCAAAATTACATGCTGACACTGTTCACCTGCTACTGTCTCCCTTTAAAAATACCATTGTACAATTTTATTCTTGTATTGTCATTTAAGTGAGTTTTCAGGTGGGGTCTGTTAAACACATGTGTTCAGCTTTGTTTAATCCTTCTTCACTCATATTTTCCATATATCTCTAATAGAGAGAGTTTCCATGTCTCTAATAGTTGAATTTTTGTTTTACCGTATATCTCCATTTTTCCTAGACTAGTCAAATCTTGTAATATGTAATCTGCCTAGTGATGCTTAGAAAGAAAATCCTATTAGCATGCAAAACCCTTTACCAATCTTTCAAATACATTTTTAGAAGATCATCAAACTTAAATTAATGATATTCCACATGCTAGAGATATACAGTAGAAAGTTAAAAAAAATTATCAGCATCATACTTTACATTTTGAATCAAACTCTGCTAATCCATACATTGATTTCTTGTCGACCTGATTCATTTTTGCCTCTTGGCTGATACACTTTCCTTGCATCACGTGGTTAGTATATCCTCAATTCCATGACATGCTCGGATGATGATAAAAGTGATACTTGAAGCTTGACACGAAATCATTTAAATTTTGTTCTAATCAATCATAATTGGTCTAACTGAGCTTTAAATATTTTCTTCTATGTAGGAAAATAGGACCATTCAGAGAAATGTTTTGGCTGAGGCAGTTAGCACACATTGCTCAGTAAGGAGCGTTACAAAGGAAAGTCACCAATGGTAATAACTTGCTAGGGCAGCCGTGACAAAGCACCACAGACTGGGTGGATTAAACAACGGAAATTTGTGTTCTCACAGTTCTGGAAGGTGGAAGTCCAAGATCAAGGTCAGCAAGTTCGGTTTCCTTTAAGGCCTCTCTCCTTGGCTTACAGGGGACCATCTTCTCACTGTACCAACATGACATGGTGTGCATGCCTCCTGGGTGTCTGTGTGTCCAAAGTTCCTCTTCTTATAAGAACACCAATCCGATTGGACTAGGGCCCATCCTAATGGCCTCTTTTTAACTTCACTATCTCTTTACAGGTCCAAACACAGTATCTTAAAACAGTCAGACATTCTGAGGTCCCGGGGAGTAGAGTTTCAGAGTAGAAGTGTGGGGAGCAACAGTTCATCCCATAACACTTAAGCAGATTCAAGTTTGAAAAAGCTCTAGCTATAAAAGCAAACAGCAGATGGAAGGAGATCAAGAATATATTCACATCAACGTGGGAAAAAGTAAATTTACAGGAGCAAAATAAAACAGTTATGAAGAAATGCAGGAAGAGCTGTTTTTAACATGTGAACAAAACAACAACTCTTGGGGTTCAGTGTAACATAAGCAAGATTGGATAAGTAACTGCGACTAGCTGTTAAGAAAAAGAGGCATTAAGAAAACAGACATTGAAAATTGAGAAAAGTCCCAGAGTTTTATACATTCCTTGAAAGATTCTGACTCTACATTAAGAAAAAAGATGTGATCAAAGGCTATTCTTGGCAAAGTCTATGTTATGTATTAAAATGGAGTTAGAATGAATTGATAACAATTGTGCATTAGTATAATGTATACTAAATTTTGTCTAATGGTTAAGAATATGCTTGTTATTATTTGAGGAATTATGTATCTTATTTTTTTAGAGATAAAATCAGCTTGCTTAGATTTTAGCCAAAACATGCCTATACTCTAAACATGGTAAGACGAGCAGCAGTATAATCTGCCCTAGAAACAATATCCCAGGATGGGGGGCATCACCTTGGGTGCTGAGGTTATTAAATCAAACACCATGTGACTCTAAGGCTATTGCAGCAAATTCTCTTTGCCATAATTCTGAAAACACTTCTAAGGAAATTGGTAGCATTAAAGAAGTGATCTCTCACTGGTCCTAATGCACTTTGATGATTAGATCTCCTTGTTTTTCAAGTTTGAATACACAGATAAAAGAAAACAGGTGGTGGTCCTTTTCTTCTTTCCCTCCCTCCCTCCCTCCCTTCCCTCCTTCCCTCCCTCCCTCCCTCCCTCCCTCCCTCCCTCCCTTCCCTCCTTCCCTCCCTCCCTCCCTTCCCTCCTTCCCTCCTTCCCTCCTTCCTTCCTTCCCTACTTTCTTTCCTTTCCTTCCTTTCTTTCTTCTCTTTCTCGCTCTATGACCCAGGTTGGACTGCAGTGACATGATCTCATCTTACTGCAACCTCCACCTCCAGGTGATTCTCCTGTCTCAGCCTCTTAAGTAGCTGGGATTACAGGCACATGCCACCATGCCTGGATAATTTTTTCTATTTTTAGTAGAGATGGGTTTTCACCGTGTTAGCCAGGATGATCTTGATCTCCTGACCTCGTGATGTGCCCACCTCAGTCTCTCAAAGTACCTGGATTACAGGCACAGGCCACCATGCCGGCCAACAGGTGACATTTCTTATTGTGGAAATAAAGGTCAGTAAAGTGTGAAACACAAAGGCTATTTATTCTAAGCTTGCTATACCAAGGGAGTCAGCCACTGTCACTTGTGTTTTGGCAGACATTCTAAAGGCAGGCAGACAAGTAGGAAAGCTGTATTAAGAAGAGAAGCCTCCAGGCATGCTCTGAGTGGGGGCTGTTGGCCTGAGGAAGCTGGAAGTGGCTAACTAGAAGCAGGACATCCTACGAGGCTAGAGGAGGGTGTGTATTTGGCTTTCTCTGGTTGGTCTTAAGTTGGAATCGTGGACAAAATTCAGAGAAGCTATTAGTTATTAATCAAATCCTGGCTATACAGGGCTATTTGATTGTTACAGAGTGATTATGTAGCTTCCTGGATTGTTACTAGAGACAGAATTCTGGCTTCCTGCAAGTCTGACTTAGAGCAGGCTGGTTTCCTGGGCTGTTTATTGTAGATAAGGGATGGGTTTCCTGGGCAGGCTACTGCAGGTTGTGGGTCAAAGTTCTATTGTTACATAAAGTTTGGCTGCTGTCTGTGAATTCAGCCTCTCAGCACCCTTGCTGAAGGAAGAGGGTAACATAAGCCACCTAGCACTGGGGCAACAGGAGAGTCTTGGAGAACTGTATTTTGCTCATTTTAGGGAGTGAGAGAGAAAGGACTGCTTCTCCTGAGAGGAAGGAGAAAAGACAGTCCAGGTTGCCGGGATAAACAACCAGCCTGAGGGCTTCAAGGACTCAGATGGCAGGGGAGACCCATATTCCTCATACATTTGGTCAGACAGGCAGGGAAGCCAGTCCGCCCTATCAGTCAGAGAAGGTAAAGGGAAGATGGGAGCTCTCTTCACATCCCACGTACCTGCTAGGAACAGTACGCTGAGGGACCTCCTGAGTGAGTGATGCTAGAGTAGCAGCCCCACAGTCCCTAATTTCAGGCAGCTGAAACTTTCTGTGGACATAAGCAACAAATTGCTTGATAAAGAGATCAAGCCTATAATGTGTATGTGCATATGCACATTTTTCCTAAGAGACAGGGTCTTGATCTGTTACCCAGACTAGAGTGCAGTGGCACAATCATAATTCACTCCTGCCTCAGCATCCCGAGTAGTTGAGACTACAGGTGCACACCACCATGTCTGGCTAATTTTTTTTTTTTTTTTTTGGTAGCAACGGGGTCTTGCTACATTGCCCAGGCTGGTTCTAGTGATCCTCCTGCCTCAGCCTCCCCAAGCACATATGCACATTTGAGACATCTATCTGTGTAGCATATTGAGACAAACCATGACCTACTGAATTAAACATTTTAGAACCCCAAATGGAGTACCAATCTACAGGTATAGATTGCAATTATTCTGAAATATCAAACACTGTGCTGTGTGAGTTCCCAAAGAGGGTTAGAGATAAAGACAATTTGTAGGTCTTTTTTTTTTCCCCCACATTGACAAATAATGTAAACTCACTGATTTTGCTTTCAGGAACAACAACAACAAAAAACCTCTTTGTATGAAATAACTCAAAGAATATAAAACATTGTGTTCTTCTGCTCTACTGCCATAATTCATCATAGGCCCCCCTGTTGCCTCAGCTGTCTGGACTCTTGTTAAGTGCTCACATGATGGAGGGTTTCTTTTTGTTGTGTGTTTTGAGCCTTATAAATCCTCATGGGAGAAGAGAAGCTGAGGCAATTGTTTTGAATTTAGAGATAAAAAAAAACAGGCTCAGATGGGTAACAAGACTTGCCCAAAGTGTCAGAGCTGACAGCAAAACAAATCTGTTTCTAATTATGGATCCCTTTTAAAAAGTTCACCTTTAAATCATGTCATTATCAAACTACACACTCCAACTTTCCTTTTGTTGTCATCTTTGGCGAAAGTGTCATCGGAACCCAAACAGTTTAAAGTTTGATGTAGAAAGATAAGGCTAAGCTATTGTGTTAATCTTAAGAAACTGCTTTCAGTACTTCTTGATATTATATTTCCTTTTACATAAAAGTAAATTATATAAACTATTAATCCTCTTAATTTACAGCTTGATTCCACTATCAATCTGACATTTTTGCTTCTTTCTCAAACTATTTCATTTCAAAAGCAGTCCAGTGAAAACATTCAGATATTTAGAAAT